ATATATGTATGTATGTATGTATGTATGTATGTATGTATGTATATATGTATGTATGTATGTATATTTGTACTTCCAGATGGAAGGTGAAACGTTTCAGCAAAAAAAGAAACTGTCCAAATGACCTGACTGAAAATTGTTAGATTTTATACCTGGATTATTGAGCATGGACTTTGTTAGTTGCGATTTTATTTGAGCTTTGGAGATGCTAATCATCTACTCCCGGTTGTTAAAAACAACCTTGTTGTTATGGTTATGCATCTTAACAAATGTCCAAAAACAAAGATATTTCTGTAAAAATCCTTCGAGCTGCACAGCATCCGACACCAGAGGAAATAATCATCCAAAAAAGAGATTTATATCCAGAAAAAGGAGGAACTAAAGTTTTCAAAAGTCATATCTCAGAATGAAAGTAACACAGCTACTACAACATGCAGCCACCTTGAGCGGTGCAATTCTAGAACTATGATATGGGCTGAGGGTGATTTCAAAGATTCGGCAGATGCGCACCCTAGTGGACGCATGCGGGAATGGCATGAGAGCGTTCACAATGGTGACTGGGAGGCGTTGCTGGAGCTCCCGTGGTCGCAGGTGATGTCGAAGATTTGGCAATGCGGAATCTGGTGAACGAGTGTGGAATAGGCACGAGAGCGTTGGTGATGGCGACCGGGTGGAGTCGCTGGTTCTCCAGCAGTGGCCCTAAGGCCGGAGCGGCGCTTTGCTGCAAGGGCCTTCAATGCTGCTTGCAGCTTTAATTTTTTATTTATTTACTCTATCAACTAAAAATACACACATTAATGTTTACCTAAAGAACATCAAATTTGTACGACTATCAAATCAGTACATTAACACTGTAGAGTCACTAGAAACAAAAAGAAAGGTGAAAAAATGCTCCCATTTTAGGGGGTGCATTATATTTTCAAACTTACGATAATCAGTTCATAAAAACTCTGCACTTGCCCCCTAATGCAAATAAAATGTCATACATACCCCCACCAGTGGATCACAGCCAAAAATTTGAGTCCAGAACAGGGTTAATAAAAGTTAATAAAAAAAAAATTAAAAAAATGCCGGTCCTGAGCTTTATTTGGATTACTTCTGATCTGTTTCCATCCCCGTCGCTCGCAGCTGACTGTGGATATTTCACACTGGACCTCAAGCAGTATGGGCTTCAGGCACACTTTACTTTCATCTAAAAAGAGGACCGAGGAACCCGACAGTTGTGGCCCATCTCATTGATGAGTCTGAATGTGGTGGTTTTTGAAGCTGTGACTCCGCCTCATTCCACTCTTTCTGGATCTCTGACAGATTCTGGATCTTCTCTGTTTGATAATCCACTGAAGTCCACGGTCATCTCTGTTGCTGGTGCATCTTCTCCTGCCACATGTTGCCCTTCCACTAGACTTTCCATTGATATGCTTGGACACAGCGCTCTGTGAACAGCCAGCCTCCGTAGCTATGAACTTTTGTGTCTTACCCATCCTATGGAGGGTCTCAATGATGGTCTTCTGGACAGATGTTCTGTCTGCAGTCTTCACCATATTGAACTGAACTGAGACAATTGAACCAAACTGAATCAATTTAATGACACCTGGGGAAACGTGTGCAGGTGCTTTGAGTTTAGTAGATGATCAGTGTTTAAAACATTCATGTCCTGCAACATTTGGACTGATGTCTCCACAGTATTCTAATTTTTTGAATTCCTGTTTTCGTGGGTTTCATGAGCTGGAAGATGAAATTATGTCAAAATAAACAAATAAATAGTTTAAATAGTTTAAACGGTGGGCCCTGAATCTATCATGTATTAAAGAGTAACTTTATGAATGGAATTATGGAAGTTAAACAACTTTTCCATGATATTCTCATATTTTGGAAATGGTCTGTATGTTGTTGGCCTGTACATGCGTGAAATATGTGCCTGTTGTGCGCATGTGCTTTCACACTTTTTGGTGGTTTTCACATGTCCGCATGAGATTCCCCGAAAACCTCCACTCTGAGACCTGGATTGACAAACCTGCAGATTCAGAGAGGGCGGGGGCTGGTGTTGTGTATATTTTTGGTGTAGTGACTGAAGTTAATGTGCCTTCAGTAGTTTGTTAAAGCACAGTATCTGATGTGAGCTCAATACTCAGGTGCACATTTGCTTTTCAGTTCATTTTCAATGAAGATGATGCACTTGGTGTTGCAAGAGGTCTCACAGCACATTTTTAAACATCCACAGACAGCGCTTCACTGGAAGGCTCCATCTTTTGTTAGCACAAACTTGTGGATTAAATTGTTTTTTCCTAACCAAGATTGTTTCTAGCTGATTTTTTTTAACTCTTGGGCTCAGCTCTAAATTCTACCACTAATTATAAATTAGTCAAGTTGTCTCAGAAAGCTCAAGCATTAAACTTCCTGCCATCTTTTTTGTCCATTACATGCCAACATTTTTGTTTAGCATTAATACACATTTAATCTCCTTCTGTGCATTTAGATTTGTCCGGACCATCCTGCCTTTCTCTCAGGAGTTCCAGAGGGATAAGCCTCCCAACGCTCAGCCTCACTATCTGTACGGGTCAAAGGTGAGCACATGTTTCTTTCATCATTACTCCCAGAGAAAGCCTTACTTCCACTGCATTCCCTTCCAGTCCAGGAGCAGAGGATGTTTCTCTACTTTTTATTAAGTGACTTCTTCTTGACCTGATCAGCTGTGCACAAGCACATGTTGAAGCCAAATGGGAACCACGTCATAGTATGAATTATCTTTAGATTACAAGTGAGGAGCTTTAATATGAGAAACATTCTGTGCAAAAAAGAATTCAGTACAATGCAAACAACAATCTGGTGACTCACAAGAAAGAAAGGTAGTCTTTTAAACTTCTTTACTAGAGATAAATCAGTGGAACAGCTTACATGTTGAACTTGTTGGTGTAAAAATATGAATTTGAATGAATCAAATGAAAATGTCATTGTAAAGACAAATATTATTTTCATTTAGTAGGTAAAAAGTGCTCAGTGACAATTCAGCCAGGGCAAAACAATACTATGATGACCTTAATCCACTTGATTAAAGCTGGCTCTCTGTGAGCCAGCTTAGCGAACATCCTCATGGTCTTGGGTAATTACGTGACCGGCGATCTGCGTCGACATGAGCGAAGGCTGGATGATGGTGGCACGTTTGATGCTGTCCACGCTGTTGCTTCTGGGTGTGAAGAGGTGACCTGATTCGGACACATCTTGCCGAGCAGAGTTGGCCACCACGGTGCAGCCGTCGGCGGCTCGCCTCGGAATGATGGAGCACATGTTGCGAAAGCACCCCCACAGCAGGACGCCGGCGATGACCAGAAGCAAGAGGCAGCAGGTCAACCACACGCCCACAGCAAGCTCCCAGCTCGCCCTGTCGTGGCCCTCGCTGTTCTCGCTCTGAGTACTGAACACCTGGCACTGGTCCCGCACCGGATTGGCCGCCTGGCACGTCACACACAAAAAGTAGGCGGTTTGGGGGAGGAGGTTGGCCAGGTGCGTGCTGGTCTGACTGACGGGGATGCGCTCCTCATGCTTGAAGCTTTTCCTAGTGAAGCCCATGAGCAAACCGTTCCAGTTGGGGTCGTACATGACACTGTAAAATGTGTCCAGGCAGGTGGGCGATGCCGGCCAGCTCACCCTGGCTGAGGTGGAGGAGACGTTGTAGACCGTTACGCTCATTATGAAAAGCTGACGGTACGAGTGAAACACTTCCTCAGCCTTTTCACTTGTTTGCACCAAGTTTTAACCTAAACTGTGAAAGAGCAAACATAGATTAAAAACATGCAACCATTTTTTTCTAAACCAGTTTTACTCCATCATAAATAAATAAAACACCTGTGCCATACAGTCAATTGTCGTTTGTATCTAAAATAAATCCTAAAACAATGAGGGCTACGACAGTCGGAAAGCTTAATTAGCATTGTAGAAAAGATTGTGGGAAAACTGGGATGAAGAGGAGCATGTGTGCAGATGTTTCATGGATTACATAATCCAGAATATATGGTGAAGAGGCTTATCTGCTGCGAGTCACCTGTTGTGAAATTGGTGAGGATTTGTCAACCTTAAACACTTAAAGACCCTCAGGACAGGTTCTAGTTTTACTTGCAAACGTGCTATTCTTAAGAAATACTTTTTTTCCAAGAAGAAATAGTTTTCTTCTGGCAGATACAGATTTATTATTTTTTTTACCCAAAGCAGATTTAATTTTTACATCACTTTCTATATTTTCTTTTCAGTATTCACATCCAAATTTCGATCGGTCTTTCAGCTGTTAACAAAACAAAGTAATCTCTAGAGTATTAAAGTCATCAGCGCTTGTATTTTCAGATTATATTGTGGACAGAAGTCTGACTTACCAGGAAAAAGACCGCCAGCACACGATGACCATACCAGTGCGTAACGCCCGAGTTATTTTATTAAATCTTCTAGCGCTGCCAGTTGGCTGCCTTCTAGTCCATCCTCACTTGGTAAATAGAACCAACGCTGGGTGCTGCTGTGTGGGACCAAAGCAGAGATCAGTGTGTCTTTATCTCAGAATGTGCTACACTAGAGTGTTGCTGGATTAGAGCAACAGCAGCAGGAGAGAGAGTTAAAATCTTCTCTGGATGTTGGGGAAAAAATTAGAAAGTACATTTTGTACATTTCTGTGGGTCATCTCTGGGTCTTATTTTGTGCAAGGATTGTTCCGTTTCCTTGCTGGTTAATCTAGACTCATTGTAGTAATACAAATCCTTATATATATATACATATATATATACATATATATATACATATATAT